CCTCATCACCTTCCCCCCCCCCGCACCTGTAGTAGTTGGGGGGATGAATTTGTGATGATCTTCCAATAATTAGATTCCATACACAGAAAATTATAATAAATGTATACATTTTTCATGTGTCAGATCTAATTATTGGGGGGGGTCATCTTACATTCAAGGTTGTCTTGTATTTGGATAATACAGTTCATACTGTTATTGTAAAATATGCAGTAAATCATACATGCACAATTGAGATTACTCATGAGTAAAATGTGAGTAAAGTATTTATGTCATTATATAGTTTTGTGGGTCATGTATATTAAAAAAAAAGCTATTTTAAATGCTTTAAAATATTTCATCTAATTGTTTAAAATATTTCATCTAATATTGTTTGGCCTGTATTTTATATTCCTGTGTCTGTAAAGCTAATTTTATTAGTTAGATTTGGTTCAGCTGCACAAGACCTACCAGGAGCCCTATAACAGATTGTCAAAATAATATTAAATGCGTTTTCTCTGCCTAATGCTGTCTTTATAAGATCTAATAATCCCCCTAGGTGAAAGGGGGTATATTCCATTAGAAAGTGGGGAATTTCTTTTAAGTGGTATAAAGTTTCCATTTTTACATGGACAGGATCCTGAATTGCTGGACCTTAAACCTTTGAACTTGTTCAAGACCCTTATATTAACTTAGACCTTTGGTCTGTGTTAATTTGAAGGGAAAATTCCATAAGGGGGGAAAGGAAGAAAAAATCCTTAGTAGATGGATTTTTATTTATTTTTTGTTTGTTTAATAAACATTCCAGAAGTCTGAAATATTGGAAGTAGTCCTTGTAGTTCTTTAGGAAGTCTGCAGTGTTACCAGGACAGACTCTATCAATATTGTAATCTGACTCCATTATTGTAGTGTTCATGTTAGGTGTTACTCGTCATGTCAGGCCCCTTCAGTTTGTGTGGTCTGTGTATGCATTGTCAGGATTGTATCTGTGATGCTGGGCCCCTGACAAACTCATTGTTAAAAGAAAGGGACTGCAAGTTTGATTTAGTAGTGAGAAACAGCTTGGCCAGGTTAGTCTAAGTACAAGCCTAGACATTAATACCCATGACCAGCCGTTCTGTGGTGCTTGCCGGGTCATTTGCAGGCATGAACATAACCCCTAAACTGAAAGGTATTAAGAGTTCCCAGACCCCTTTATGTATACCAATCAAAACTAATTCTAGTTCTCACCAGTTGTTAAAACGTATGTAGTTGACATCATCCACATCCTGCTTCTCACCAATTAGTGCATCCTTCCCACCATATACAACCTGTTTACTAGGTCACTCTGATTTTTGTTTTGGTGTTCTGTACTGGTTTTATCAATTCATTCACTATCTTTTAGCCTTGGAGCTACTTTCAAGCATTTCTGTGCAAGCCATACATGGTATATATACCTAGTTTCATATTCATTAGGACCTGTTTCAGTTCATGCTGTTATTATGGCTTCTGTGTGATTGTAAATGCGCTGCCCAGTTGTTATATTAATCCATACTCTGGCAGGGCCTACAGTCCAAGTAGACCTAGATTAGTGTATAGAGTTCATCTGATATACTCAGCGGTGCATGCTAATTACAGAAAACCAAGTGATAAATTATAGGAGGAATTGTGAAATAAAATCTATCACATAACTGCAATTTGTCATATGAATATCACCACATTATAGAAGTGGGATGTGCATGTATTTCAATCTCAGGATTTTTCCAGCAGTTATTTTTGAAGATTTCCACCAAAGTTCTTTTAATAATAATAAACATGCTATTTTAGAATAATGCATTCTGCAAAGCTAAAGAAATCTAGTATATAACATCTTTTGATATCTTCAGTTGCATGTGTTACCTTAATCTGTACACAGATTTTCAGAACTCTCACCAGCAGTTACTGTAGCTTAGTATACTTTATTTCCTGGCAAGTGGCATGATTCCACTGACTGTAATAGTGGTAGTACTAGTGTTCCACTGTGTTTTGACATAGTTACTAGAATTATGATCAGGCATTTCTTGTAAGCATTTTAATACTGTATAGAAATACTGCAGCAGACTACTTGTATATCAGCGTGTATATTTTATATATGCAAGACTTCAGCGTGAAAGCATTGTTACCCTGTGGGGTCAGGCCAACTACCAGGATCTCAATATTGCACTGTTAGACAGGAGGGTGTGACATAATTGCACATATGCAAACACACAAATCAGTTAGGTGTGTGCACGCACGCATGCACACACACGCACACAGAGTCACCATTTCATACACGTGCAACCCACCTACACATACACACAGGCAAGTTCCTAACTTGGATGGTACAGTGTGTATGTGTGTGCTTGGGGTACCTGGGATACTTGGGGGAAGGTTAAGGTGTGAGAGAGAGAGAGTTAAAGTGTAGGGAGTAAAAGTTGCCAGAACCAGGATTAGAACCGGTAGACTAGAGAGAAGCTGGCTGAGGAACTGAGGCTTGGGATTACTTAAGGTAGATTGGGGCTGGAAACTGAAGCAGACAGCTGAGATATTTGGGGGGGGGGTGCAGATAAGTGGTGGCAAGGAGGAGACAGCCAGGAAAGAGAGAGAGGCAGAAACTTGGGAGCTTGGGGCTGGAAACTGAGGCAGACAGCTTAGAGATTGGGGGGGGTGGTGGTGGGGGGCAGATAAGTGGTGGCAAGGAGGAAACAGTCAGGAAACAGACAAAAACCCAACTTCGGGTTTCAAAATAACAGGTTTGTTAAACAGACAATGCACTACACAGCCCCATGAAATTGTTGGTTCACTCACTCACTCACTCACTCACAATGGTAGAAGGAGAAAGAGACTCAGTGGAAGGGTTTGAGTCCAGGTAGGGAAGAGAAACAGATTCCAAGTCCTTGGTTGAAGAGGGGTTGGGGATGATAGCTACCTATCCAGGCTGGAAAGGGGTCTTTGTCCAGTAGATGTTGTCCAGAGGGGGTGTCACCAGCAGGGCCTCTGGGTGGATAGGTGGTGTGGCATGGTGCTGGTCCAGATGGAGAGGGTGTCCCAAGGAGTCAGTCTTCACTACCCCTTTTTATGGGGCAGGCTACCTCTGATCTCCTATGGGGAGGGCCTGTCCAGGGAAGGTCAGTCCTGTCCCAGAGGGCTCCAGGTGTTCTTACTGAGCATGTGCAGCCTTGGCACAATGGTGGGTTGCCTCATCTTTTGTTTCTTGAATGCTGAGGGTGGTTCCAAGGGCTGGGTCATTGGTCCAGGTATTGGTGTTGATGGTTTGGTCATTCAGAAGGAGCTATTTTTAGACCTGTTGCCATTGCCTCTCAAGCACCCTCATTCATCCTCATTCATTCAGGAACCAAGGGGTAGTATGAGTCATAGGTTACACCACTGGGCATGGGGAGAAGATGGAGGCTTGACATTACAAGAGGGAAACTTGACATGACTTATGCTAACTTACATATATAGGCCTGAAACAGTAATCACACAGTATAAAAGCAGTAAAAAAAAATCAACACAAACATAATAATTATCACTTATAAAACAGTGCATATCTGTATCAAAATAGCAGGGCACTTATTTGCAGAGGGGAGAGAAAAATAAAACTTACTACCTAAAATAAAATGCTAAAGCTAATCCTACATTTTAACTTATTTATAATTATCTATAGGGAATAGAGAGGGAGAGGAAAAGTCAGAAATAGTTGGGGAAGGGGTGGAAATACATTTTAAAAGAAAAATGGGGGGTTTTGCTAAAGCATCACTCAGTTAATGAAAAGCCAACATTGACAATCAGTTTACAAGCATTGCACATTAAAAGTAAATGATGTTAAATATATTATATGAGATTCATGAATGAAATTCAGAATTGGGAATCCTGTGCAAGGATGGTGATAGCTTTCTGTTCCTTAGCTTGCTCTGCCACCTCTGTTTCTGGCCCTAATAGCTGCAGGGAGTTTCTTCAGCCTTGGAAAAAACTTCAGGATAATAGGACCATAGGAAAGTAGGGCTGGAAGGTACCTCAGGCTTCTTATAAAGCATTTAAGTAAACGAATATAGAAAGTTACTTCAGTAGAAGTGTTTTAAAGAATAATCTCCACAAAACAGGAGATTATATTACCTTATTTAAAACGTTCTGTTACTCCTACACTACCCTGTCAAACTCTTTTGTCAAACTCAAGTTACATATTACATTCTGGTGATTTTTTAATACTGATACTGAACTAAATTTAAATGGTCTTATGTTGTTAACACTCTCTTTTCAGAAAAAAATCTTGTTAAATTATTTTGTGGGTTTGGGAAAAGACTGAGAGTTCAGGGACTGATTTCAGCACTCTGGTCAAAATCACTAAATTAAGCATTTGAAACTTGTAAAACATAACTTTGCCCAGAGGTAGCTGAATATAGAGTGTAGGTTTTGAATCAGAAAATATATAAAATAGTGCTCTGTGCAAGAAGGGAAATGGCTTGTCTAGCAACATGCCTTTTGAAAAAAGATGTTTTGTACTGTTAAGTTCCAGAAATGGTGTGCAAACTCAGTCTTTACAGGTCTTGCTTCTGGACATTTTAATGATGCAGCAAAGCATCCCAGTTTGGCTTATCAGCTTTGTGAAAGAGAGAGGAATAGCTGTAATTAGATTTAAACTGTTTACATTTATAATCTATAGATGACTAATAACTTATGAATGAAAATATATATATATATATTAAATGGTGTTTTGAATCTAAAAATAATGGTCAGATAACATATGTTGCCATATACTGTACATTAGTATAGGAAATAAGCTTTTAGGTAGAGTGCTTAAGTGTATGGGCTAGATAGTGAACATATGAATTAGGAAACTGGGTATTTTTGAAAATATTGCATTACCACTTTTTGAATATTACAAGAGGAGTCTTATTGCCAAAGATGACTCAGTATTTAATGAAGAAATACTCTGGATAGAACTTGTTTTATTGTTACACCTTCCTGAATGTTCCTGTGAGACAAGTGCAAACTCTTACCCTGATTCTCCTGCTTGTATACTGTAGGTTAAAGCAGCAACAGGTGAGGAGGTGTCAGCAGAGGATCTTGGAGGCGCTGATCTTCACTGCAGGTAGAAAAGAAAAAACAGCTCATTTTCTTTAAACTCCACTCCCAATCCCTTAGTTTGAATGGGGCTTAAAATAAACTGGACAAAGGATTTCTGTGTTAGGCTGGTCCACCCAATTCAGAGTCCTACACAGCAGTAATCTGTAACTCAGTTTTCAGAGGAAGGCAAGCCACTCTGCTCTATAATGCACCCATCTAGCTGTTTGATTGTGTGCATTTGATGTCTACAGTCCACATCTGTTGATGGTAGTGTAGCAGAGGAAGTAGTACTGAAAATGGTGGCCCTGTGCAAAAATGATGGTAGCCTGAGTGTATATTTAGGTTCCTTGTATTGCCTCAGGTCTCCAGTATATATGAAGTGGGGGAGAGGAATTATTGGTACTACTTTACCATTAATTTTTTTCCCAGATTTCCTTTTAGGTAAGCCGGTATTTTCCACTTCAATGGGGTTTTTTTGTTTTTTTTTTGGTTATTGAATGAGATCATAGAGCTGGAAGGGACCACATGGGGTAATCTAGTCCAATCCCCAGGATCATCTTTGACTATATTATCCCAGCGAAGTGTCTGACTGGCCTGTTCTTAACATTGTCCAGGGATGGAAATTACATAGCTTCTCTTAGTAGCCTGTTCCAGTCCTTCTGGGGTCATAGTCAGAAAGTTTTTCCTAATTTCCAACCAGAATTTCCTCCCCTGAAGTTTGAAGCCTTTGCTCCTAGTCCTGTCCTCTGTGGCCACAAAGAAAAGACTGTCTCCATCCTCTTTTATAATCTCCCTTCAAATATTTGAAGACTGTTATCAAATCCCCACTCAGTCTTCTTTTCTCCTGACTAAATAACCCTTGTTCTTTCAGCTCTCCTTCACAAATCTTGTTTCCAGGCCTCTAATAATTTTTGTCACTCCCCACTGGGCTTTTTCCAATTTGCTCACATCTGAATTGATAGCATACAATGCTTTTGTACTCTTGAAATATTCTGCTATCATAATTATAGCAGTCTAAACATTGTGTGTTTTCTGAGTTAAAATTCAGTTACCTTTATAAAAAAAATATATGGAATCAAAAGTAATAGAAAAGCATGCATATATTATTGAGTACATTTTATTGTGCTTAGTGTCATTAGGATTTAAATCATGGAAGGTATTGCACAATTTATACCTTCTAAGACTGCCTCTTGTATTGTTGACTGTAACTCGTTGTAAGCTACTTTAAAATTGTCTGTGATAAGGGGAAAGTGAAAACTACTCTAAACATGTTAATGGTCATGAAAATGGAAAAAAAATGCCAAATGGCAAATGTACCTCTATGATAAATAAGCTTCTTCTGTACTTCAGTTCACTAGCAATATTTTAAAAATACTATCAAGATTTTTTCATAAGTTCCAATTAATTTAGTTCAATTAAAACAATAATTTAAGAGCTTGTCATAGGAGTTCATGCCCCCAAATATTTCCTCATTCTTGCATACCCAGTCTTTTTATTGTTTACTTATACATGAATGTTGGGCTCCTAGGACTGGTTTTATTTTATTATTATTTATTTTATTAATTGGGTTTTATGCCCACGTGAAACATTAAAAGGACAGTTTAAAAATATACAGCAGGTCATATATTTGGCAAACTTATTGTGATCCTTTAAAAAAACGGAAAGTTTAGAATATTTAAGACCATGTACTCGAAGTCAAGTTCATAAATGGATTAGGAGACAGACCTTAGGCATCATTTTTTTTATTCTTAGGCAGAAATATTTACAATCTCTCATTTTGATTACTTTGTTGTTTTTAATATACAGAAAGTCTGGTGTAACTGATCACTATGCTTTAGATGACAGTCATGCACTTCATCTAGCTAGGAGAGCTGTGAGGAATTTAAATTACCAAAAGAAAGTTGATGTAAGTATGTCTTCTATTTTCTATACAATACTGTATTTTTTAATTAAAAAGTGTAGTTTGCTTTGATTTTTGTTGTGCCTTGGTATGTCTAACATTATCATATTTGCCGAAAGGCAAGATTCATAGATGTAAGGCCGGAAGTGACCTAAGTAGATCATTAAGTCTGACCCCCTGCCCTGGGCAGGAGAGAATACTGGGCTCATATCACCCCAGCTAGGAGCCAGCACCACTTCCCTTGGAAGTTGGTTCCAGATCCTAGCCACCCTGACTGTGAAACAGTGTCTTCTAATGTCCAGCCTGAATCTACTCTCAAACAACTTATGGCTGTTATTGTTTGTTACTCTGGGAGGTGCTCGGGTGAACAGGGTCTCTCCCATTCCCTGCTGGTCCCCCCTGGTAAGTTTGTAAACAGCCACCAGGTCCCCTCTCAACCTTCTCTTGTGAAGGGTGAACAGGTTCAGGTCCCGTAGCCTCTCCTCATAGGGTCTGCCCTGCTGTCCCCAGATCATGCAAATGGCCCTCCTCTGGACCCTCTCAATACTGTCCACATATCTCCTGAAGTGCGGTGCCCAGAACTGGACACAGTACTCCAGCTGTGGCCTGACCAGTGTCGCATAGAGGGGGAGGATCACCTCCTTGGCCCTGCTTGTGATGCATCTGTGGATGTATGAGAAGATGCGGTTGGCCGTACTGACCACGTTCTAACATTGGTGGCCCATGTTCATTTTGGAATTGATAATGACTCCAAGATCCTTCTCTGCCACTGTGCTTTCAAGAAGGGAGTTCCCTAGCCCATAGGTATGGTGCTGGTTCTTACTGCCCAAGTGCAGCACCCTGCACTTGTCAGTATTGAATCCCATCCTAGTCTCATTTGCCCACCCCTGTAACCTGTCCAGGTCCAGCTGTATCATGTCTCTCCCTTCTAGCGTGCCCACCTTGCCCCAAATCTTGGTGTTGTCAGCAAATTTGAACAGGGTGCTTTTCACCCCCTCGTCCAAGTTGCTAATAAAGAGATTAAAGAGTTCGGGCCCGAGGACCAAGCCTCACATCCCTCCGGGTCAAATATGACCCATTCACCACCACTGTCTGGGTGCGGCCTCTCAGCCAATTTGCAACCCATGTGACTGTGTAGGCATCAGTGCCACAGTTGCCTAGCTTTTTAATGAGAATGGGGTGGGAGACATTGTCAAAGGCCTTCCTAAAGTCCAGAAAGACTACATCCACCGCGACACCTGCATCTAGTGATTTTGTGACCTGATCGTAGAAGGCTATCAGGTTGGTCTGACAGGACCTGTCCCTAATGAACCTATGCTGGTTGCCCCTGAGCATTGTTCCCTCTGCTGGTCCTTCCCAGATGTGCTCCTGGATAATCTTCTCAAAGAGCTTCCCCAGGATTGAAGTAAGGCTAACGGGCCTATAGTTGCCCAGGTCCTCCCTCCTCCCTTTTTTGAAAATGTGGACCACATTGGCCTTCTTCCAGTCCTCTGGCACCTGGCCAGAGCACCACGAGTGCTTGTAAAGCCGTGCCAGGGGCCCCTCGATAACCCCTGCCAATTCCCTCAGCACCCTGGGGTGCAGAGCATCTGGACCTGCTGATTTGAACACGTCCAGTTCCCTTACTTAGTCTTCCCTGACCCTAGGCCTGTCAGAGTCTCTCCTGAGTCCATCCTGAATCTCAGTGAGGGAGTCCCAGTCCCTGCACAAAAAAATGGAGGCAAAGAAATTGTTAAAAAGGTCTGCCTTTTCCTCTGGTGGAACCACCAGATTGCCAAGTGTATCCCGCAGGGGCCCCACGTTACCCAGTGCTTTCTTCATACTCCCTATGTATTTAAAAAAAGACTTTTTGTTGTCCTTGATCCTTGATGCAAGCCCTAGTTCTGTGTCTGCCTTAGTTTTCCTGACTGCCCCACTGCAAACCCGAGCGATGGAGGTATACTTCTCTTTGGTGATAGCCCCTCCCTTCCACTGGGTGTATGCTTCTTTTTTATCTTTCAGGCATTCTTGAATGCCTTTGGTGAGCCAAGGGAGCTTCTGAGCACTCTTTACCCCTTTGATTCTTGTTGAGATTGTCACCCCTTGGGTTTGGAGGATTGTCTCCTTAATTGCCCATCAAGAATGACAGATTTTAGGGAGTGTTTACATGGTCCCCCCTCCCCCCCAGCTCACCCTTCAGGGCTGACCATGTAAAGACTCTCTCTGCCGCAACCGCCTTCTCCTCCAGCCTCGGGCACGGGGGCTCCCTCCCCCTGCCCGCCTCACAGCAGGGCTTCCCCACTGCCTCCCCTCTGCTCCCTGCTTCCCTACTTCCCTCTCTCTCTCCCTCCCTCCCCACCACCTCCCCCTCCCTGCTGGCTGTTGTTAGGGCCGGGCAGCAGGGGCACGCTACCACTGTGATCCCTCTTCCCCACCCCTCCCTGCTTCCCTCCCTCCCTTCCTTCCTTTCTTGCCACCGAGCCCTGACAACAGCCGCCACCATG